GAGAGTGTTTCATTGTGTTAGAGCTGGGATCAGAGAGAGTGTTTCATAGTGTTAGAACTGGGATCAGAGAGAGTGTTTCATTGTGTTAGAGCTGGGATCAGAGAGAGTGTTTCACTAGGTTAGAGCTGGGATCAGAGACAGTCACTCACTAACAGTCTGTTCTTGGACCCATTTTGTCTTCAGGAGCTTGAATAATCTCTCTCTCATTTTCCCATTCGGCCATTTGGTTTGGTTGAAGAGTATATCTCCCACAGTGTTCATTGAGGAGCCCAGTGATTAACGGTGTGCTGACTGCCCAGGGAGCTGTATTCCTGCTCAGGCCCTGTCATTGTCAGGTCTCTGAGCTAGATGCTGGGTGGTGGGCCATTTCTGATTGAGTCAGGGACACCACTAGAGACTGTGCTGAAGAACTCTCAGTTCTTCAGGCTCCACTCCAAAACTAAACCTTAGACAATGTGAACCTTACCCTCTCTTCAGCCTTGTGGCCAAATCCCTGGAGTGGGACAGTAATCCTGCCCGTTTGATCCACACTGAATTCACCTTTTGCAGACGCAGGGACTGAATCAGTGATTGTATACTGCAATAAAGGAGGAGGTCACTTAGCAAATTAGTTCACGTGTGTATCCACAACTCTAACAATTTAATGCAGGACAGTTAAGTTCAACCACAACATTTCTTTAGAATTTGAATTCAATTAAAAAAAATCCAGAATTAAGAGTACATTGATCACCATGAATCCATTGTCAATTGTCAGAAAAACCCATCTGGTTCATTAATGTCCTTTAGTTAAGGAAGCTGCTCTCCTTGCCTGGTCTGGCCTACATGTGACTCCAAACCCACAGTTATGTCATTGACTCTTAAAAGTTAGGGACGAGCAATAAACTTTGGCCTGGCCAGCAATGTCGTCATGCCATGAATAAATAAAAAAGAATTTTATATTTACGCAGCTCCACGTTGTCTTCTCTCGCCGCAATGACAGACAGTCAGGACAATCTATCCCCTGCCCTGAGGCTCAAACACAATTTCTCAGCTGACCTGCAGCTGCAGTACTCAGGGGGTGCTCCACTGTCAGACATGCTGTCTTTTGGTTGTACTCCTGTCAACTCTCTCAGCAGAATGTAATGGATCTCATGAAACAGTTGGAGAAAAGTATGAGAGTCCTCTCTAGGTTTCTGACCGGGAGGTTGGAGTGGTTCTATTGTGCTCTGACCAGGAGTGGAGGTGGTCACATTCTCATTAGAAAAAGAGAGTTCAGACTTCATATTAGTGAACCAGATTGTCGGAAAAACCCACCTGGTTCACTAATGCCCTTTAGGGAAGGAAACTGCCATCCTTACCCAGTCTGGCCTACATGTGACTCCAGACCCACAGCAATGTGGTTGACTCTTAACTGCCCTCTGGGCAATTAGGGATGGGCAATAAATGCTACCCAGCCAGTGATGCTCTCATCCTGTGAATGAATAAAGGACTAAAGTTCAGTACTGCCATCTGACAAGCGTGTCTTTATTTCAATCCCTTTTTCTGAATTATTAGTTTCATGGCGGTAATAATTCTACTATAAGCTTATTGTGAAATTTCTATTCATATTTTAAAAATATTTTTATTTGCTTGCAGTGCAATGTTCAAAGCATTTTGAGAATCTAATCACAGCAATAGACTCAACACATTATCCATGTAACCATCTGTTTATGAGTATCATAGAATCCCTACAATGTAGAAGCAGACCATTCAGCCCTTAAAGTCCACACTCACTCTCCAAAGAGCATCCCACCCAGAGCCAACCCTGACCCCCTATCCCATATTTCCCACCCTAGACACTACAGGCAATTTAGCATGGCCAATCCACCTAACCTTCACATCTTTGGACTGTGGGAGGAAACCAGAGCACCCAGAGGAAACCCACACAGACACAGGGAGAATGTGCAAACTCCACACACACACAGTTGCCTGAGGGTGGGATTGAACCCAGGTCCCTAGCACTGTGAGCCAGCAGTGCTTAACCACTGAGCCACCGTGCTGCCCCAAATCACAGGCGTCTCATTAATAATTTCAAATCCCAACTGAGCCTCCACTTTTTATAATTCCAGTTGATGGCTCTTGTGGATAAATCTGGTCTGATTGATCATCTTTTTAAAAAAATGCTCTTTATTGTGACACTCAGTCACCGAAACATAGTCACACAAGGCTGCAGAGTTTCTTTAACAACACAGCAAAAATTTATTACTCAAAAGAAAAAATAGATATATAAAAGCTACCTAAATATTGAACACAGTTTAGAAAAATCTTAAAACACCCAACAAATCAAAGTTTTCAACTTATTTCCCAAAACCATCAATTTACAGAAATTCAAATTCAGAGAAAGTACCCCACTGTATTAAATATTTAATGTCTATTTAACTGATTTGCCTCAGTTTCTTTCTGGTGAACTATGATGTTTTCTTGCATGAATACCCACAAAGCTGAGACTTAATCTTTCTCAGCTACTAACAACGCACAGATTTCTAATCAAACTCTTGTGGTTTGAAATCTGAATAAATTAAACTTCTATTGAAGTAACTTATTCCCTGGGCTGCTCTAAAATCGCGTTTCTATGAGAGAGTTTATGGTTGCTTCGGATTCCAGTCAGATCTTCTCTGAACTGGCCTAAAAACTTTGAATCTCTGGGTTTGCTAAACTAAAATCAATTGTTGTTTGTTTTGAAGTGAAAACAAAATGATAGCCTTTCATGTTTCCTCCACTTGGCATAAGCTCCGTAGCATAAACATCTTATTCCATTGACAGAGATAACAAGGTGTAGAGCTGGATGAACCCAGCAGGCCAAGCAGCATCAGAGGAGCAGGAAGGCTGACGTTTTGGGCCTAGACCCTTCTTCAGGCCCGAAACGTCAGCTTTCCTGCTCCT